CAAAGTCTATTAGAACATTAGGCTTTCAAATATCTATCATTCAAATGAAGAAGAGTATTACAATGAACAGAATATTAATTTTTTAATATTTTTAAATGTACCCAGATACAAAGTTTAAAATAAAATATGCACAATGTATTAAACTTGTCAACTAAGCAGAAGTTAGTCAGTCACCTTGTACCATAACGACAGTTCTTCAAGACGTGTGTCCACTGTAGGTGTGTCTGCATCCCTGCACTGCTCATTGAAGAACTTTGGTAGCAGTCTGTCCCGCCCACGCATGCACTGCACCTCGCCTGCCACGAGGTTAGCCAGCATGCATGGGTAACCCTCAGTTTCTTTTCTACTGCAGAGTCAATGACAAGAACTCCAAAGTAGAGGGGAGGAGGGTGGGCTGGGGAGCACCCCCAGGGACACACATCTCGAAGAACCATCATTACTGCACAAGGTAACTACTACTACTTCAAGTAGTGTCCCTATGGGTTCTCCACTGTAGGTAACTCCCGAGCAGTGCCCACCACTGGAGGCTGGGACTTTGAAGTTGAGTCTGATATGGATGATAGCACCAAATTTGGCATCTGCAGCTGAATCCCCCAGGATGGCATAGTGTTCTGCAAAGGTAAGCGCAGATGCCCAGGTAGCTGTTCTGCAGATTTCTGAAATAGGGATACCCATGGAGAAGGCGATAGATGAGGAGATCGACCTCATAGGATGCAAGCATATTGAAGATGGGGGTGTTACATTACGCAATTGGTAACAAAGTTTAATACAGCCCAAGACCCAGTGGGAGTGTCTCTGAGCTGAAACCGCTGTGCCTTTTGATCTATCTGCAACGCAGAGGAAGAGTCTTGGAAATTTTTTGAAGCTTCTTATCCTGTCCAAACAGAAGGCCAAGGCTCTCCTCACATCAAGCACATGAAGGATGGCTTCCCTATTATCCTGATGAGGTTTGGGATAAAAAGCTGGAAGCCAAATAAGCTGATTAATGTGGAATGCAGAAGTCACCTTGGGAGTGAACTTTGGATGTGGTCTCAGCATGACCTTGTCAGGGAATAACACAGTGAAAGGGGGATGCGCCACCAGAGCCGCTATTTCCCCTACCCTTCTTGCAGAGGTAATGGCAATCAGGGACACCATCTTCATGGAAAGGTGAGTTAATGAACAAGTGGCCATAGGTTCAAATTGCAGTCTAGTCAACCCTTTTAGCACTAGGTTGAGATCCCATTGAGGAGTGGGAAGTCTGGGTGGTGGGAAGAGGTTCGTTATGCCTGTGAGAAACTTCTTTGTAGTCAGATGGGAAAAGACTGCGTAACCTTCTACCTGTTGGTGGAAGGTTGCAACCGCTGCTAAATGAACCTCTAGAGAACTAACAGAGTCCCAATTTCTTGAGAGCCAATAGGTAGTCCAGGACTACTGGTAGGGTGGCTGTATTAGGGGTGACGTCTTTAGGCTGGCATCAGATCTGGAATCTCTTCCATTTTTGCAGACAGGTATGACGCATAGTTCCTACTCTACTGTGTAATAGCACCTCCTGTACCTCCTCAGAGCAAGATATCTCTATGTGCTGGAACCATGAAGGAGCCATGCTTTGAGTCACAAACTCTGTAAGTTGGGATGGAGAGTCATCAGTGGATATAATGTCAGCTGTGACAGGTAAGTGTACCACATCTGCCTGGACTATGTGGGATCATGCTTTTTCTCTTGTCACTTTCAACAGTATTTAATTAATAGAGGGAATGGGGGAAAGATGTAAAGAAGGCCCTTGTCCCATGGGAGGAGGAGAGCATCTCCCATGGAGTGTCATCTGATCCCCGCTCTGGAGCAATACTGTGGACATTTCTTGTTCTGGTAAGTAGAGAACAGGTATATTACTGGCATCCCCCATTGTCTGACTATGGGGAGTACCACCGACTATCTCCCATTTGTGATCGTCATGGGCAGTGAGTATAATAGGCCAGCCTCCCCTGGTGCTGCCGCAGCCACCGGACCCCCAGTTGCGGGGTTTTGGGGTGAAGTTTTTGATTTCTTATGCCCCATGTAGGTTCTGGGGTGGCTGAGGAGGCAGTATGTGCTATTCAGCTTCCTGGGTTCATCGGTAATCTCCCTGAACCCAGGAAGCTGAGTAGAAAATACTGCCTCCTCAGCCGCCCCAAACCTGCATGGGGCATAGCAAAAGCTTCTTCTGGACCTGAGAGACGCTTTTCCCCGGGCAGCTTGGGGTCTGGTGAGGGGAGGTGCAGCTACAGCTGGCCCAGAACTTCTCTGGGCAGGGGTGGGGGGTGGAGGTTTGGGGCATCGGCCAGCCCGGGGCTCCTCAAGGTGGGGGGTGTTGGGAGGGGGTCAGGACTTTGGCTGGTTCGGTGCTCCCCCAGCCAAGAGGGGAGGCGCTCGGGGCTGTTCCGGGCGGGGGGGGGGGGGGGGGGGGGGTCTCGATGTTACCAGGATAGGCGGGAGGCAAACCCTTTCTTCTTCGTTTTTTTTCCTTCTGTTTTTGTTTTGTTTTAAGGCATGGCTAAATCAAATGTAAATGAAGTAAAGAAAAAAGCTTCAAGGGAAGCTAAATTTAGCCAATGTCAAGGGAGGTAATGATCCACGAACGGACAGCTCTAGTTCCGTCTCCAGCCGAGGCGATTGAGAAGGAAATGACGAGAGTCACCGGCTAACTCTGGCTAACCTCGTGGCAGGTAAGCTGCAGCGCATTCACGGGTGGGACAGACGGCTACCCACGTTCTCCTATCAGTAGCACAGGGACGCAGACATGCCTACAGTGGAGTAACCATAGGGACACTACTCAAAGAACATATGTTTCTCAACAGTAACATACTAAAGGAAGATAAAATGGAGCTGATTTCACCTGTCCTCTATTTAATTCACTCTGGGAGCATAAAGGAGAGATAAACAGCCTATGTAAGAGAGTAGCCTAGGCAGCATGGAGTTGTCACAATCACCCTATACTACTCCAGAAATATGGGATGTGCAAAGAGTAGGGAGTTGGAGAGGTGGTGTAGCCAGAGTATACTGCATTCTAGCTATCCTGGGCTGCCAGGAGGCTACCGCAGCCAGAACTCAAAATCAGAGCAGCCCTGAATTTCCTCTGAAGTACAACAAGGGCCTGGCAAGCCCCTGGACAGCAAGTATATAAAGGGAGCATAAAGGTGGTTTAAAGCCACCTTTGCTTCCCTCATTTCTTTCCCTGCTTCACTGGCAAGAAGCAGTCAAGAATCAAGTCACTGTTCCTTTTTTACAGTAACACTAAGCCAATATAAACTGTACCTTTTGAACTAACACACATTTTAAAAAGTTTTAATGTATGCAGACCCAGGTAGAAAATGTGGGATTTACATTGAACATCACATTCTAGGGTGCACCATTATGAGCTATATGCACATGGATGGCAGGCAGCTATTTCACAACAGCACGTACTATTCCTTTCTTATAAATCGGTTTGTGCAAAATCTTTCTGAAAATGGGGGGCAGTTAATATTTTATGGGATTCAATTTCAACTGGTTTGAACAGTTTTAGGAACTATTCAGGTCTTTTTAAGCAATGTTTTCATTTTCAAGATGTGTTCCCCAAAATATTCCACTCAACCCACAGTCAACCTGAGCCAATACTGCTCTGGGAGTTATGCCTGCAGTGTTATGGCTTACTACAAGAGGTAGTATCTGGGTCTCGACTAAGAATGCAGCCTACATGAGAAAAAAAACAAAACAGCTATATGTTTAAGAACACATCTATTTTCCCACCTGTATTCCAACTGGAATCCAGTTGAATGCTGAAAAATTTCCGTTTTGTTTCTCCACCAGCATTGCTAAACAATCTTTTATACTAACTGATTTAATATTGCTATTGAATTTAGCTTGTAACTTTTCAGTAAGACTATCTTGACAAAGTTCTGTATGTGAATAATACATTCTAAGTTCTTGCACTGATCTGATTCGCCACTGCCTTGGTTTGTCATTTATACCTGTGCCAAGTGGATGTAAAAGGGTATTATTGGTGTGAGTGCAGAATTCTGATTTGGTAATGTTTTTATAACTACCTTGCACAGATGTAAGTGACTGCACAAAACATAAGGAAGAGGAGAATCAAGCCCAGTATCTGAAATACCAGTACAGTCTCAATAGACCAAAATAATCACCACTAGGTGTCACCCTTTGATACTGTATAAAACACTATACATACGAACAACTGTTTCACTTTAAAATTATATGAGAGCAATTTTACTACCACACTGACTGCAATGTGGTATTTTATTCAGCATCTCTTCACTTTACTCCTAGTTTTGATTTTTAAAAAGTATCTCGGGTAAATGAATTAAGGAATTTGCTCCTACATCAGCTAAAAGGAATTCTTGTAGTCACAGTTCTACAGAGAATGTCAGTACATGACCCTTGCAACATGAACATATGTTGCAATATGCTAGAGGTATCAATGTATCATTCTTAGGTTACTTTTACAAAAAGGAGTCTTAAGGAAAAAGTGTAACTAGCAACAAAATAATGCATTTTTGAAGATGGGTAAGTAAATTACATTCTCCAATAGTCTGAATTCCTCCCACCCCTGAAAAGACAATTAAAATCTTTATTTGCAAAGAAGTAGGGTGCAACCATGCCCAGCCCTGCACAGATTCAGAGGGAGCCTGCCCACGAGTGACTGATCTGAAGTGAGAAGGAGCTATGCATCCAAAAAGTGATGGAGATCACATGCTCACTGGGGCACAATGGCTGGCAGTTCACACCTGCACCACTCCCTACTGTGGACTGTGCCTTAACGCTACAACGAACCATTAGTCTCAATCTGGTTTCAGAAGCAATTCTAAACAATTTGACTTCAAAACAATAGTTTTGCAGATTAATCATCAAAATACAGTGGTGCCATTTTATCTAAGGCTACACAGAGGTTTGTGAATGATAAGTATTTGCAGTTGTTACTGTTCATCATTTTTCTTTTTATTATTGTACCACAACACATATTTTTTATTCTAAATAAACCTTACCAACTGTGCAGCTGTCTTCAAGTACTACATCCACATTTCTGTCTCTGTATTCAACCCTGAAGTCAAGCATCCGTGGTTGTCTTTCCACTATTTGTCGGGATGGCACTACATGTCGAAACGCTGAGGATGAGGAAGGAGTTGAAGAAGATGCTGTAGGATGACTTGTGGGACCATAGGCTGGTCCTTGCAAAGTCTCTCCACCATATTCACTGAAAGATATATAGTTTAGAGAATTTAAATAGAACAGACTGATAACTGAAGAACTATTTGAAGAAACGCGAGGCAAGCGAGATGAGCAGTATATTCCCTTAGTGTCATCCACAACTTGCACTTGTGACTGCTATATTGTATCACGTATCTGACATACAGGCTGTTTTACTAACAATGTAAGAAATTATAGTATCTACAACATTTTCTTAAATATTAGCAACTAAAACGTTCAAAAGCGATTGTTTAAAAGCTGGTCCTACAGTATTTTAACAGTCTTTTGGGCCTCAAGTTTAATATATGTATTACAAATCACAGAATGACTTGTACAGTAAGGAACACAATATTGCAACCCCACGGAAGTACTACATATCCATACCAGAATCCCAAGGGTATCCCAGGCTTAAAATTCTACACAGCAGCCACCATTCTACTACTACATCATCAGGCTAGTGTCATCCCAAAATAGTCTGGGAGAAAGTGCAGCAGAGATGCATCCCATAATCTTAGAGAGACAAACCTATTTGCAAATTAATCAGACAGGTTAAAGAGGAAAATAAATAACTTTTTGCTTCAGGCAGTTAAGGGAGATTATATAGACATCAGTGTATTCGTTTAAGACCAAAATCTAGAAATATATGTTAATTACAGAATGTTGAATTCCAGCTTCTCCTTGAGCCTCATCTCCCTCCCCACTACTCCTGAGCACTTGCATATGGACCACGGGATAGTGAAGTGAATGTAGCTTTGCACAGATTAATTTGGAGAACTCCAGCTACAGGCTCTTCATTTAGCCTCTCTCCAAAGAGCACGGTGCTGGAGATTAGTAAGCAGAGTGATAAAACAAGGCATATTAAGAAACACCATTCAGGCCAAAGAGAATGTGGAACCACTTTGACAAAATGAGCATTTTACATACTAAAATGAACATTCCACCAAAGGAATCCAGGAAATAATGTTTGTAGAGTATGGCTGGAGTTCTGCTTTGCAGATGTCCTCAAGTGGAAGACAGTGACTACAGACATACAGTGAAATCTGTATGGGAAACTATCCTTACTAGGCAGCTCCAGATGTCCTGATGGTTGGTGCACACTAACAGTGTGTGCTTCAAGGATGGAATTTGAATGAATGATACTTTAATTTTTTTAATAGGGCTGCTGAAATTTGGGATCATGCCAATTTCTTTTTTCTTTTTTTTTTTTAAGGGACCTTATTTAGAAGGCCATATTCCACTTTCTTAAAAAAAAGTCAAGTAGTGTCTTGATGCAAAAGCTTTATAAAAAAAAAAAAAACACGTTAAATTTAACCCCCCCCCCACACACACACACACACACACACACACACACAGTGATGACATGAACTCAGTGAGCATAGCCAGTTGCTACACACACATGCTATATAATTAACAAACACTGTCTACATTCCCAACTGTCTGCTGGTGCAATTCCTATCATTTTACCTCCCACGTTCTGAAAAGAAAAAATTAAGTGTTATGCTTTTCTGGTAGTACAAAGGTCTCTTTTCCTTTTCTCTAGTCAGCAGACACACAAAGAGGAATTCTCAGCTATGTGAAACCTACAGGGATTTCAGAGTTCTAAAGTACACAAGGAATCTGTTTTGTTTTGTGCAGCTTTTAATTACAATACTAAGTACCACTAGGAATTTGTTATGCAGAGTTAAACAATGACCATATATTGATCCAGATTGTTTCTTTTAAAAGGGGGGGGGGGGGGAGATTACGGAATGTTAAAATTAAAAAGTGATACAATAGTTTCTGTGACAATAATTTTGTTAGTAATCCTAAATAGCATTCTCAGGACATACTTCTTTAAATCACAACTGTATTACATTTGGTGACCGAGAGGATATTTGTTCTCTGAAGATATTACTGTTCACCCCATTAAATAACATTAATTGCATTAAAAAAAAAAAAAAAAAAAAGACAGCCAATAAACACACTTGGCTACCAGCAGCTGGACACTCACATAATGATTCAATTTAGCAAAACCTTTGCTTTAGGAGATTATGGGTGAGATTTTCAAAAGAGCATAAGGGAGTCAGGTGTCCAACTTCCTTTGAAAGCCAATGGAAACTGGGTGCCTAACTCCCTTAGGCCTCTGAAATTCCACCTTATATCATTGGGGGGGGACCCCACAACAGCTTGACACACATTCAACTGCCTAGATTTTTTTTTTTAAAGAAAGAAAGAGATGCTGAAGAAACTTCAGAATTGATTTTTAACAAAGCCTTCACTTATTGCTGAACCAAAAGAAAAAAGTACTGCTAATCAGTCTGATGAGTATTTAGATTGAAAATGCTTTGTATGCATATGTTCAGGGGGTCTCTGGGCCCTACACGAATACAAATAAAAAGTAAATATCCACTCACTGCACTGAATAAACAAGGATTTACTCCTGAGTGTAAAAAAGGTGACTGTTGACAACATACATTAAATAAGTTAAGACCTAATAATTAAATACAGCATAGCTGCCAAAATACTGATTTACTTACATTATAAGTAGCATCTATCATAAGTTAAGAACATTTTAAAACATCATATTGAGTATTTGTCCTGAATGTTTTGTATCACAACATTCTACTGGCTCTCCCAAACAGCTGAATTCCTGTTCTGCTGTTTCCGATTGCCTCATCAGCACTTAGCAGATCATGCTTCAGTGACTTAGAATCACACAAGCCAAAACTGAATTCAAAAGTTTGAAAGAAAACAAGTGCACTGACTTTTTGAAGTGAGTAATCTACTTCCTCTGACACAGTATCCTTTACCTGCAACCCACTGAAAGGACACCAGTAACTCTAAGAGAGAAAAATTGTCACCACCTTTCATGCACGTGTGTGCATGCATCAAAAGAGAAAAAGAAAAAAAAATTAGCCAAGGATACGGGGGCAATTCCCAGCTGATAGAAAAAGTGCTTTGGGATTTTTTAGGTCCATGCAGAACAGATGGGACCTCACTTTTAGGGAATTATCTGACAGACTCAGACTTAGTCAACTGTATATCCTATAGGGACTGATCCCACACCTACTGAAGCCAGGGGTAAGAATTCACTGATGTTGATGAGGGTTGGATCAGGTCCTTAATCAGTCTTGGAAAGTTGAGGGGTTCAGTCAGCCCTCCCAGGAGTTGAACTCTTGGCTCTTTGGAGTCTAACTATTTCAAAATGATACTTACAGTATTACATCTTCCTCCTACGGGATAGAATTGGAGATGAAGAAAGAAGAGGTAGGGGAAGAGAAAGTAAACCTCCCACCATGACTACTATTACACAGTACCTCTTTCTACACATTATTGCTCCAAGCTTCTTTACTTACCTTTGTAGAATGCCATTTTCTTGTGGTATTACACCATTTATAGCTGCCTGTAAACAAAAGATATACAGTAAGTCAAACAAGCCAGGCAGCAATAAGACATCAGAAAAACTTGAGATATTTCTGCAAAGCAATTCAAATGGGCTTATACAAAAATGACTCAAATTTGCTTAAACAAAATCCCCAATGCTCCCTAAGCACATCGAATATTCTCCATTGAGTTCATACAAAAGCATCTGATAGTGCCACTAAAGTACATTCTTGTAATAAACCCTATTTCAAAGGAGACAGGCCTGAAACAAGACTTTGGGCCCAAACTGTATATATCTTTAACAGGTCAAAATAAAACTAAAAAACTTTCTAAATTTAAGGATTCAAAATGTTAGGGTGGTTATATTTGTTTGATTACAGACATGTTTGAATTACAGTTTCAGAGCCAACAGAGATCTGAATGTAAGATGTTTGTTTATGCCCATTCACATATTTCAGTACTTTTAACACAGAGCGGACACTTAACATATCAAATCTCTATCTAGAAAGTATTTTTCCTCTTTAATATTTTTGTACGGTTCTTAATTTGCTATATGAATTTTATGGGTAGGTACCA